GTATTAGGTCAACAAAATGGGCATAGTAACAATATTTTTATACTACATTTATCCATTTTAAATACACTAACCTCACTTCTTTGTAACAACTACGGCAAAAATGTAATTAATTCAGAAAATCTTTTCAGGACCCCACCTTGATGTTTCGGGACCCCACTTTGGGTCCCGACCCCAACTTTGGGAAACACTGATCTAGTAAATACATTTCCATACAGTATGTTACTAATTACTGAGATGGAGCAAATTAGTTAATGTATAAGATTAAATATGAAGCTTTGTGACATATAAACAGCACAGAAATTACGGAAATTTGTGTCAACAGCAAAATAAGCTGTTTGGCAGAGAAGAATTGGCATTTTTTCACATGCACAACCCACAAACTCAGCTGCTCATCCCACAAATGCATATTCCTTACAAATGTGGCTACATTTAAAAGAGCATTTACCAGGCTTTCCAACAGCATAAGATTTATTGCAAAGAAGGATTGTTATATTAAAGTAACAATTAACAAAACACTTATTTCCTTACTTTTTTATGCTAATTGTACAATGGAAATAAATTGGTTTATTTGTTTAATGTTTAGTAAAACCCCAACTAGTCTAACAGGCAGTATTTGCTGTTTATATCAATCTTGTGTTTTTCCATTACAGGGAGAAACTCATCGCAGAAAGTATGGCCAAAATGCCCAAGATGGTGGCGGAATGGCGCAGACAAAGAAAGGAGGCCAAACAGAAGCTGAAGGAGGAGAAAGCTCGTAAACAAAGGCTGCTGGAAGAGGCCAGAGAGCGCTTCGATGGCTATGTGGACCATCGCAGCCCCAGGTTTTTGGAGATGGTCGCAGAAATCGAGAAAGAAGAAAAAAAGAAAATGAAACTATTGAAACGCAAACTGAAAGAGGAGGCAGCAGCGGCTGCACAAGCACGTCCTGCTGCACCAACATCAGAGCCGCCAGTTTAATAGGATTTCCCCAGCAGCTTCTTGAGAGTAAGCTCAGTTAAAGCCCTTTGTTCAGTTTTGAAGACTGTAATATGTTCGATAACCTGGTTGGATTAAAGAGCCCAACACACTACATCTGTTCATCCAGTCCAGTCTGGTCAAAGTAAACAAGTCAGCAAGAAGGATTTATTCATTTAATTGGGCTTACTTAGTAAACTGGCAACATGTTTCCATAAATAGACCTCTCTGAAATAAATGTACACTTTTCTATGCCATCTTTTTGTCTGAAATAATTACAGAATTCTCATTTCAGCTAAAATAAACAAATTTAGTCAAAAAGTCAAGTTTTCAACAAATATAATTAAAACAAAGAAAAGTTGAGTTTAAATAAACCAAGGTGATAAAACTGAACAGTAAACATTTTTTTCTTAGTTCCACAAATCTAAACAAAATAAAAGTTGCTTTTATGATTATGTGCAAATCAGAGCTCCATTAAGAGTAAAAGTTTTACTGTATGGTCAATTTGAAACTATTTAGTGTGATCCATGAAAATGTATTATTTAGTTTTAAACAATAAAACAATAAATACACATGATGTGTAGTCACTCTTCCTCGTCAGGAAACGGTGGTTACAATGACACAAAAATGTTTCTTAAAAAGGTCACTGAACTGTAACAAGTCTCATTTGATGTAAATGCAGAGGATGAACATGTCCAAACAATCAGCCAACATAGTCCAGTGAGAAGGGAGTGGGCACTGAGGAAGGAACTCTTCGTCACTGATGGGTCTCATCTTCACCAGGATCAGCCTTGAGTTTGGCCAGAGCAGCATGAACCCTGAACTGGGTCCGAGACTCCATCGAGTAGTCTTTATATTTGTGCCTGTGGGTCAGAGCAGAAGTCCCTGTTAGAGTGCACGCAGTGCAGACGTTTGCTTCGACTCCTTCATGCTTTGAAGTCAGTCTGCCTTGAAAATGACATCTAAACTTCCATCCACTGAGAGCATGAKGTGTTACATCTACAAGTTTGTGTCTGAGGCAGCTACAGCTACAGTCTGTCTTCATGGTTAAATGGTAAATGGTCTGTACTTATATAGCACCTTTCTATCCATCCAGGACACTCAAAGCACTTCACACTA